CAATGAAAATAATGAGCAAAGACAATATTTCACATCAAAGGCCGTGCAGGCCAGAGGACAATGGAGGCGACAGCATGTCCCCAGCCGTGCCGTGCGAGTTAGCTGCATCTGCAAAGCCGCAGCTATGCGGTGTAAGACTCGGAGCGCCGTCCCGGAGAGCCGCACAGACCGTCTCAGCCACATCCTTCTTTATTTGTGTACTGTCGCTCTAAGCTCACCTTTCGGCGTTATCGCGCTCGCGATTCAGCAATCCCTTCATCTGCCTTGGCTTGTGAGACCATTGATCTGTGTCGCTTTGACACTCGCGAATTAATTCGAAACACCATTAAATTTATGCTGGAAGAAAAATCACACATCACCGAAGAATGAATACAAAGTGGCGGCGGACGCAGATTCGTTTTAATTTGGGCACAGGACGCGGGCTGCAGGCGCTATAATGAGGTGAATATTTGCTCGTGCATGAAATGTGTCGCGACGCGGCTGAGATGGTTTTAATTATGCAGACGTTCCGCGCTGCATTTTGATGATGTTTTTGGTGCGCGTAATGGGCGATGATGGGCATCGTGCTGATAGGTTCATAGTTTTTGGAGAGGGCTGTCTCAGGATGTTACATAGGCATAACACTGTTTCCGGCCCACTGAAGCTTCGTTCGCCTCTGCTCAGCACTGCCACGCAGAGGACCAAGTAGCAGGATCGTATGAATGTCCTGAACATAGCGCTGTTCGAATGTGGCGTTTATGACGCTTTAATTATCACGGCGCTTGAGAAAGCACCGCATCAGTAATGGTAAATCGAAAAACGTGATCCTTGTATCCGTGTTTATGTACTTCTGCCATGCTCGGCTTTTCATTCGTACTGGGTCTATTTCATATATATATATATATATATATATATATATATATATATATATATATATATATATATACATGTATGCATTACATAACGTCAATCACCATGCTACATTCTGCAAGGTGTGGTAGATGTTAATGTTGGTACATTAAAAATTTCAGCTGTTTGCTGCAACCCTGCCAAGATGAGATCTTACAAACAGCTGAAATTGCTAATGTGCATTGTATCCATTGATTTACATCAACTCTATGGAACGCCGGAGGAATATTTTCATATTGCTGGGCCACCTCAGCCCTCCCAACCCCTAAGACAAAAAGATGGAGGAGGTATAGCCATTTTCCTTGCTCGCCCCCCAAACGAGTTTGACAGATTACGCCCCTGATAACATCTTACTGAACCTCGAAAATCAAAGCCGGCAGAGGTCGCAGGTGAGGTTCTGGTTGTTATTACGTACATTGGCATAGTTCCAGACTAGAAGCTGGTTCTTGCTGGATCTCAGCTTGATTCTGAGCTGTACCTTGGTTTGTACTGAATCTCCTTGTTCCAGGCTGGATCTGGGCTCTGGCCGGATCCCTTGACATAATGTCAGGCTGGATTTTGACTCGTGTTGGATCTTACGACATAATGCCAGGCATAACCTGGTTCTTGCTGGTTCTCTTGGCTTGATATAGTACTGAATATTGTTTCTTGCTGGATCTTTTGACCTAGCATGTGGCTGGATCCTGGTCCTTGCTGGATCTTACGACTTCATATGAGGCTGGATCGTGGTTCATGTTGGATCTTTCGACTCAATATGAGGATGGATCCCTCGGCCTAATGCCAGACTGGTTCCTAGTTTCTTAGCGGTTACAGAAGCAGACTCCAAGAACCGGTTTTGGGGGAAGAAATCTTGTGAACCAGACACATATTTGTGTGTCACCCAATGCTTTGACACGACTACACCGCCTTGTCATGAAGACCCTCTCGCCTCCTGTCACCTGGAATCTGCTGGGTAAAAAAATGATCCACCTCTGGGACCCGAACTCGCTACGCACTGGAGTCGGGCGTCGGAGCCACTCGACCACGGCTGCTGTAACCAGTGTAGGTTCACATGCATTGCCATGTTCCGATAATTGACCAATTATTTGCGAAGTTTATACGGCTGGGAACTGCATGATCAATGCGTGGTGACTTGGTGCGGTTAGTGCTATGCCGTGGGGAAACAGCACAAAAGCACCCTAATGATAATTCAAATGAGCATCAAGCTTAACCTTTTGTACTCAATTAGTCCACACATCCTTAGCCCAACTTAAAACTCCTCATACTCTCGTGGAATTTCATGAAGCTCCTAAATACGACGTGCATTTATTGGTATAGGCTGAAAGAAGGCTGTGGCCATATTTAACACTGAATGTATCTTTGGAACCAGAAGAAGTGGTTTCGATTTCGCACTGTGTCCGCCCTCACTGCCTGAATGGGAGGCAGACGGCTACGCCACATATCGTCAGTTTCCGAGCGCATCGCAAAGCCCCAATACCAACAACAGCAACCATTTCAAACTCATCGAGTTTCAATTCAAAGCAAAATATGCCTTTGGTGCTGAGAGCTGTCATTTATGGCAGCTCAGAAGCGTTATGTGACCTTATAACTCATATGGCTGGTGATTTCAGGG